TGGCTCTCGGTCAAGACCTGCTTTTCTTGCCACTCCACGTCCAGACGTGTACTCTCGTGTGCCGCGCGCTCACTTTGAATCTGGATAGATGCCTTTGCAGCATCAAACGCCGCAGCCTCAGCTCCGAGACGATCCTGAGCGACAGCGCAGGCTCGGTCTACGGCAAGAGCTGCCGTCAAGCACTTCTCGCGAGCCCGGGCGCGCACTACTTCTAGAACGATGGCAAGCTCTTCAGCGTTGCGCTCAAGAGCATGAACTTGCTCTGTTGTCGCCAGCTGCCGTTTAGCCAGATTCTCTTCAATGTGGATTGCATCGCGCGACTCAAGGGCCTGATGCGCTAGCGCAAACGCGGCTGCCGCTTCGTGCCGGTCGCATTGAGCTGTCGCATTCCGAGTCGCTTCGTCCGCAGCGCTCAGTTCATCAACAGCATAAACAGACTGAACCCGCTGTGTCTCGACCTCGCCACGTGTCGAAAACAGGATCCGTTCCAATGCCTCAACATCTGACGCTGCATCTATGGTGGCACGCTGTTCAAATTCCACCCTTGACTTGAGCGTGTCCCTTTCTTCTCTCAGATCATTGTGTGCGACCTGCGCTGCTGGTAAATCGATCTCAATGCGCCGACCAGACATCTCCTCTGCCGCCTTGGCCTGCACACGCAAGCCAACGGCCTCATCTTGCGCATTGACCAGCTGTAATTTGCGTTCCGTGATTTCTTGTTCTGCCGTTGTCACGCGGATACGGAGCTGCTTGAGGTCGCTTTCTGCCCTGGCTTTGGCTGCTAGCTGCACGTTGCGCTCCTTTTCGGCATCATCGCGGGCTGCGAGAAGCTCCGCGGCTTCTTTAGCTGCCAAGTTCGCAACCTCCTCGAGCTTGGGCCGACGTATAGAGTCTTTTTTTGCCCTTCGAGAGGCTCGATCTGCACGTTCACGTAGTTTTTCCAACTCCTTCGAAACACCCTCCGACTCGGCTTCGACAGCGCGTAGCTCCTCCTCAACGAGCGTCTTACGTTCAGTCAGGTCATCACGCTCCGCCTTCAGAGCCACGTGCCGGTCAGACGCAGCACGCAATCGAGTGGTTGTACGCGCAGTTAGTGTTTCAATGGACGTGTCGAAAAAATCTTCTTCAGCTTCCTCGTCATCTTCGTCGTCATCGTCATCTTCGTCTTCACCAATTGCAGTCAGGGCCGAGATACGGCGGGGGTTTTCTGACTCTGCAAACCTAGCAAGGGAAAACGAGTTGGCCCCAATAAACCATGCTATCCTGGAGAATTGCCCGTGTAATAGACACCGCCGCTTTGAGACATAACCCTCTTCGGCGGCGACGCTGCTTGGCTCCCTTCATCGCCGGTGAAACCGTCCTCATGTTCCTCGCTAGCCTCTTGTGTTTCAACATAGTTCTGCGGTTCTAGCACAAACTTGGCCCTTTTTGTCATCTTCTCCGCGATTGCTGAGGTAATAAGTTGTCTGTTCTCGATCATCACCTAGTGTGTCACAAAGCACTTAACGAAAGCTCCCGGACGGATGATTACACCAGCTTGCGCACTGACTGGAGACGTCGTCTGCCAACCGCGACTGCTTTCATATTGCGCTGGAGCTTGTGCGAAGTTGCATACTCGCCAACCTTCTGAGCAGCTTTGGTGGCAGACACAGTCATTTGGAGAAGAGCTTGCATCTGGTCGGCCTGGGCTCGTGCCTGCTCCATCTCTGAGGCTGCGGCTTCGTTCTCCTGCGTAAGTTCGGCAACAACAGAGGATTGCTTCTCTTCCGCTGCCAGCTGTTCTTTCAGTGCGCTTA